CCACATCCCCTATCCCTAGTGGCGGGTTAGCGCGAATCCCGGACGAGGCAGACGGGAGGTGAACGTGAAAGAGAGAAATAAAGAGAATATATATGTATATACATATAGGGGTTGCGATAAAAATGCGGTAACATTCGTCGTATGTGTACACGTATGCGTATACATATATAAATATAATTAGCTTTAACTGATAAGTCTTATTTAAGGTTTTAGCGTGGTACTTCGGATGACGTAGCAGCAGGGAAGTGTGCGCATGCGCGTCCAATGTCTATTCGCTACTTTCTTTAACGTTGAACATTAAAAGTGAATCCTTGCGCAGAGTAATCGAGGATCACGGGGAGAAGTTACGTAGGATAGTGATAATCCTTGCGTGTCGAGTCGGTGTGTCTGTGCGTTTTTTTTTTGAGTTGGCCTGCGCGTAGGTGCGTGTGCGTGCGAGAGGGGGAGAGGGGGAGGGAGAGCGAGTGAGTGAAAGAGTGAGTGATGAAAAAAATAATACAACTTGGGCGGGCCCGAAAAAGAGAAAAAAAGTGAATTTCGCGTTATTTGTCATTTAGAGTAAAAGAGCTAATGGAGATTGGGTAAATGAGAGAGAGTGAGAGAGTGAGGAGGGGGATGTCGAAAGAAAGGGGGTGCAACGGAGATGATTAAGAGATATTGTACAAAATGCTACATACATAACTGTTACCTAAAGATAACTATATATATATATAGATATAACTATAAAAATATAATAGCAAAGCCAAAGGATACGCAGGGCACAAAAACTCCTGATCTCCTCTACCCATTTCTTAAATAAAAGCAAGAGAAAATAATAAAACTGATCAACGTGAAACTATAGTTCAATCGAACGAGTGGTATGAAATTTGATGAATTTTCAAAAAAAAAAAAAAAAAAAATGAAATACTTCAATTTTTTTTTTGGGTGGTGATCGATATGTTAATGCGTACCCTTTGTGCAGCTCACCATAGGTGATAGCGATATATTCTGTGTGACTAGGCTACGCGAAGACGGCGATGATGAATACATGAAATACTACTACTGCTACTATTACTACCACCTACTACTACTACCACTACTACTACGACTACTATTACTATTACTATTACTGTAGCTACTACTATTATGAAGTAAAATTAATTAATACCTAAAGAGTAGAGCAACGCTGATTATACCACTACGAGATATGGAAAATTTATATATTTAAGGAAACTCAAAGGAGAGAGGGACAAATTGAGTAAGGATTATACACGATTTAAAGAAATTTCGAAATTTTATTATTATTATTATTATTTTCATTATTATCAATGCCTCTATTTCGTAGCCCTATTTCAATAAGGCCGATAAAAATTCACGGTCGCCATATTGTTTTACCTGTCACGACGATCCGATTTCGTCCGTATTCGATGAATCGTTAATCTGACATCCGAATTGATTAATTTAATAATTCGAATTATTGTATCGGTTGGTTGGTCGGTACGATGGATCGTCACGATTACCGGAAGTCGTGTAGACCAAGAACTTCCTGCCCGTGAGAAGTATACGCGTAAGAGTGTATAGTGCTTGAATTGTTGTTAATAAATAGCAAAACAAAGAAATTCTCACCCGAAGGATTGACTGGCGTTTCGCAAGTAGCGCGCGCAATTAGGGCGTAGGGAGGAAAGACGTAAGAACGGAGATGACGTAGGAGCGTGACAAAAGTAAGGCGAGGGGGGGGGGAAAGAAGAAACACTCGAGATCGAACAAAATTTATTCTCTCGACATGGAATAAAATTATTCGTTCGCTCTGCTCGTCCGTCTTTGACTTCCGGTTGTTCCGCCACTTTTATTACTCGTCTCCGCGTCACTTCCTCCCTGGCGATTCTTTTCACGTATTTGGCTGCGATTCTCGCTTGTATCGATGAACCGGCGAATATTGCTGTTCGATGCTTCTTTCTATATCTATAGCGACGGAGGAAGAGGGTTCATAAAGGAGACCAAGGCTGCCGCGAAGAAGAGGAGGAGAGAGGATGGGATGAAAAAAGTATCTTGATCCTGAAACACTGGGTGTTGTGGGTGGGGAGGAGAGTGCGCGATGGGGGGAGCGAGGGGACATAGACAAATTTCGAAGCACGAGAGAACGTAAGAGTTAAGGTTAAATACGAAAGAGCGTCTCGCGAGAAATTGAAGCTCCAGACGCTTTCGAAATTTCATCGCAAGTTGTATGATACTAGGGAAATTCTTTAATACGTAGATTTACGTGATTGCTTACCCAGAGATTAATTAACGTAAGAATGATTGATACAAAGTGAGATACAAAGGGATTGAGAACGTGAGGGAGAAAGAGAGGGAGAGAGGGGCGGGAAGACAAATTTCAGGATATGAAGGTCGTGCGAGAATGAATGTATGAACATGTAAGAGAGAGAGAGAGAGAGAGAGAGAGAGAGAGAGAGAGAGAGAGAATGTTGAGTGACCACACGAAAGAATAAGAGTATGATGAGAGAACGATGAAGGAATGAAAAAAAAAAAAAAAAATTCTCGAATTATAAATGCCAATTGGACGAATGGCAAAAGTGGTAGGAGCCACGATGAAGAATGTGAGGAAAAAGGTATAGATAAAGTGGAAGCAGGAAACCAGAGGAGTAATGGAGAAAGAAGAGATAAGAAGAGAGTGCGCGTGCTCGTGGGATGGAAGCAGTGGAAAAAATTTAAGAAAAAAAAAACGTAAAACGATAAATATTAATAAAACGAAGGAACTCGATGTTTCTCGAATTAGATGAAAGAAAAAAAGTGGCGGCGTCCATCTTTTTAAAAGCGTACGCCTGCAGGCCGCAAAGTTTTAATTATACTATACGATCATTGTAGCGAGTACGATTAATATGATTATGAGGATAAAGGATAACGAGAGAGGAAGGAGGCAAAGATAATGGAAGGATGGAAAGAAAATAAAGCGATTATTACGATTATTCAATATAAATATAAATAATTATAAATGACTACGTGCGTTTCCCTTCGTTTACGTTTCTCTCTCTCTCTCTCTCTCTTTCTCTCTCTCTTCCATTATTTTTCTTTATCGGTTTTCTATCCCCCCCCCCAGCCACCCACTTTTCCCCAGTACCAACCACTGCACGCTCACATTCTCCATTATCCACTACCACTTGGCTCCCTCAATCTTTCTCTTCTCTTTGTTTCCTCGGAATCATCTTTGTTTCTCTCCCCTTACTTTCGCATTCTTCTTAATGTCTTACTCGACACGAATCATACATAGAGAATAGACGATAATGGTACTTGTAGCATACTATTGAATGTGTTAACGCGAGAATCGACCGTCCCCCGCCGCATCTCAATCGGGGACGCTCTATATGATACTATTATTACTGTACATTTTTGTGGTTTATTTAACAATAAAATATTAACAATAACGTTGACACGCACGTTTACTTTATACATAAATATATATACGCTAATACATATATATGTAGGCAGTATCGTGAGGGGGAAGAATTGCGCTACGAGCATGGTCGTCATCGTTCTGGAAATATAAATGACGAGACTTTTCAATGCCGATTTCATTTATTACTTCTAACTTGAAAATTGACTTTCAAATGTTTAATTGAACATTCATTAGAATCGGTTTACGTGATTTATATCTTAATGCGATTATTCGTCTTGCTTCCCTTCGGTTTATCGTCGTTGCCGTTGCTGCTGGCTACAGACGGATTCATAATTCCAGTTTGCACGTTAACGATTGTCGTGATCTAAAGGTTCTTGGTGAGCGCCTGTTTTGGATGCCTTGTACGTTTGTTGCGTTTGACTGTACTTTTCTTTTTTGTCATCCCAGTAGTACCTTCCGGATCAGCGCACCACTCACGACTTCCTCGTCGCCTTCGCGAGGACCGATGCATTTACTGCTGCATAGATACTGCAGCAAAGGTAGACGATACTTGCCGCAGAAATCGACGAATTTTATGTGCTCGACGCGATTGTCGAAAAAGACACCTGGTAGATTGTTTCAATTAGAACTTAATGATACGCTTGTTGCCTGGCAATTGTCTTTTTTAATACCTTGACATTTTGGATTGACACAGTGATGACTTGTGTTGAGATAATTCATCAAATTCCTTGGGACGCTCTCTTCGTCGTAAAATATGTCATTGGTCTTTATTACACGGGCCGCCAATTCCAGCAAAGACGGCGGATTGTGCGTCATGTCAGAGACGAATCTCACTACCAGAGGATTGTCCCTCAGAGACAGCTGGAAGAAATTAGAATTTATTAATTAACGCTGGAGCATAATGGGCGAGCGGTATTAATAGTATGTTGTACTGGCGTTAGTAGTGGTGGTGGTAGTTTTGATAATTCGTTAGCACGCATGTCGCATAGGCTTAATAAAGTCGTTTTAAAGAGAAAATAAATATGCTGATTTGAAGATGCATTTATTAATCAATTATGTAGAGAAAATGACTTGATATTTTGCACGAGTAATAATTTTCGTAAGACAGTTTCTAGAGAAGGGTTGATCTGATCCTTCGAATTTTCTATAGCTGCTGCGAGTGCGAGAGAGAGGATCTTATGGGCGCATATATGCGCGAGACAAAGGCAGAGACACAACGATCGTTCGAATATTTGCAAAATGCTTGTCTCCTGTTAGCGAGTCTTTGAGTGTTTATAAATTCTTTAACTATCTTCGACTGTCGAAAGGAACTAATGTTTTTAAAATATTTTTATGATTTTTATTATGTTATCTCTAATCACAGAATTCGCGGTATTTGCCTTATCTTGATGCAAGCTATCGATTGTTATGTGTATAATAGATTTCTTCTTTGTTGACTACTTACTTCCGTCAGACATTTCAGAGTGATGATTTCTGTAGGCAGAGTCTTGAGTCTGTTCTTATGAAGTAACAAAGACTTTAGATTCTTCAGATTGGCTATCGAGCCAGGGAGACTTTCGAGCATGTTATCACAAAGGACCAGTGCATTAAGTCTGGTCAATTGCCCAACAGTAGATGGGACTTCGGTCAACCTGTTCCCACCCATGGAGAGGACTTGCAATCTGAATTAAAGTAAGGTGAAAAATTATAGTTAACATAATTTCTTGTTTACGCCTTGTGACTCTTGCGCAACTTCACTCTGGTTAACACTGTGCTTACGGATAATGAGATATCTCGTGTTTCGTATTCCATCGTTAGAGGCCGACGACGAGATATCTCGTGTTTTATATTTATCTAAAAATGTAGAGCTGGCTATTGGATAAAATTTGCAATAAAATGATTTGTCCGCAGTGTGTCAACGTAAGCAGACAAAATTATTATTACCGTTGAAGCTTCCATATGTCCTTTTTGATCTGATTTATATTATTTCCTCCTAGGTAGAGATACTTCAGGGCGGTCAGTTCGAGAATCTGTTCAGGAAAGTCGGTGAGTCTATTACCACTTAAATTCAGTTCCCTTAGTACGGGGATATGTTCGAAACTCTTCGGTAAATTGTCGTTGGTCAGGTTGTTGTTCTTGGCGACGAGACAAGTCAAAGGACAGTCACCCAGGATATCAGGTAACGAATTTAATCCACAATTTGATATGTCCAGGGTACTGAGATTTATAAACCGGATGATGCTTCCTGGTATATGGTTCAGTCGGTTCTGATGCAGAAGCATCGTTTCAACATTTTCAGGATTATTGGCGCTTTCAAAATGCTCATCCAAAACTTTGGAGTCCAGCATCAGATAAGATAGATCCAAGGTCTTTGTCGCTGAGTCCGAATCGCTTGAGTCTGACGTGTAACTCTCCATTGCCTGATTTACTTGTTGATGGTAATAAAAGTTTGTTCGGTATATCGAAATGAAAAATTATATTTTTAGCTGTTTAGGAATGCATTGATGGATACTTAAATGGTATCTTTACTTTGGATTAATTGTACGCGATTCCTGACGATGATTTCTTATCACTTGATCTTCACTTCGATTATCGTTGAATTTATTGAAATTCAAGAGAACTAACAGCACTAATAGAGTGAAAGAACTGAGAAAGCTGAGAGCACGCAGATAAAAGATATCTGATGCTGACAGTCAAACACACTACGGGAAACAGACCCCCATGACGAGGAGTGCACCAAGACGTTGGAGTGCGAACTAAGAGAGGCGGCAAGCGGTTTATCAGCTTACTTTATATGTTACTTTATCGGCAACTATAATTCGTCAGTGCTGTTGCAACTCTTTCTTTATTGCTGGACCTTCTCCCCTAATGACCTTTCAGTGGAGTATTTTAATATTTGCTCGTTCCATCCTGAAAGTCTTATCGCAATTCTTGAAATGTACTAAAGAGAAATGAAATGGCCTCAACAGATTTTAAAGAGATAGAAATGTCTTGAATTTAGGGATTTGAAATCCACATTGTATTTTAATGAATCTTCGTAAATTAGGATGATCTGTTAAACCCAGGGCCTAATCAAAGATATTCATTCGTACGGTACTTGTTTAGATTTATGTGACGATGCAATATTGTAGGACCAATAGGATAGGTAGGTTTTATCAGTTTTGCGATAAATAACATGAATTGAAAACTGAGGAATACGCGTTAGTATTCTTTGTAAGGATGATGGTGCTTTTTACTTGATTTAGTCGCAGCTTCCTCTTTTGGTAAAGCCTTGAACACTGGTAACAATAAACAATGATTCGCGGAAGATGATATCAGCCCGGTCATAACCTAAAAGATATACATTTTCTGTAAGCCGATGTGCCAGCTAGTGGGAAATTATAAATGATTGAATTCGTGGTATCATATAACTGTATATATTTGCGACGAACGATTTTTCTTATTTTAAGGTTAGTTTGCTCTCGTTGTAAATTGTTAATTCTTCTTGCAAGCAATCGTTACTTTAGATATTTCATGCGTAAACAAAAACGTGTTATCTTCACTTGCTACGTTTGAATATATGAACAATTATTATATAATTGATATGTATTTACATTTCTTTTGTGTGATTATGAATTTTCTTTGGCAGTTATTCAATTACATTTCATAATTTGACTTCGTACATGCTAAATGACATTGTTAAGTGTGTCGATTACAATGAATTACAGTTTTTTGTTGATCTAGTTACCCAGGCTACTACCAAAATTTATGGTATAATTCTTTATCGCACTATGCTCTACTTTATATTTGTAATAATAATGACTCGAGGTAATTGTGCTCTGTGTGAAATATTATTTTAGTTAGATTACTTTGGCCTTTTCCAGTAGAGGAAGCTCACAGAGAGATAAACTTCTTTACTAATGTGATAGTTCTACTTTGTTGCAGGACTATTAATGAATATCGTCATATTAATTTTGTTTTTCTTTGATTTTACAGATACCTATGAACAATGGCAATGTTGAGATTTAATTCTGTCTTTGTTGCACAAAGTTTGCAGAAACTGCCACCCTATTTCACCATTATACATAAGGCATACAGTGCAGTCAACATAGACAGACTATTAAATGACATCACAATATTACAATCTGTGTTTAATAACAAGGACAAAATTCCTGGTGAACAATGGAAGCATGTACGAGAAAGTGTTTTACTTCATCATAATGTTAACGAAAGTAATATTGATGTGGCTATTATGAATCTATGCAAACGTTATGGAAACATGGATCAAATGTCATCCTATATAGATTTTTTGAAGACAAATAATTTTGATGTAAATCTATGCATTATAGTGAAATATTTAGAACAATATACATTAAAAGAAAACCTGACTGAATCAGAGAAAAAGGAAATTTGTGATATTTATGATTCTATAAGGGAAAAGTATCCTCTTTTAGACTGCATAACTGCTGAAAATTGTATCTCAGCACTCTGTTTAACTAAAAGATGGCAAGAAAGTGAGGAATTGTTAGAGATGATAAAATTAACCACAGAACCACATGCAAAACCATACTCAGCAATAATTGCTGCAGCATTTAATAACAATAATCCAAAAGTTGGATGGAAGTACTTCCATGAAGTATCGTTGAACTTGAAACCTCAAACTCACTCCTATCTGGCCTATATAAATTATTGTATACGAAACTTCAAAGATGTAAAGGAATTAAAACATGAGTTTAGTAAGTTATTTTACTTTTGGGGCAACAATTATATAATAGTACCACAAAGTATAGCAACTGCACTAATGGATACTGGTCAGAAGCTTAATTGGAAAGGATCCTACACTAGTATGAATCTCAAGTGAGTATCTAATTCAGTATCAGATCGCAATAACTACAGATTACATTGAAAGTAATTGGGCAGTAGTTTATATGATGTATATAATGTTACTTTTATTCAGTGGAATCTGCAACCACTGTTCACAGAAGTTGAATGAATGTTCTCTGACATCAGAAGAATTTGATTCATTGTCCACACTTTTACTGCAGAATGTAATTGTTGGAAAGGATACCTATCAAAAAACTACTCCAAAAGAATTAAAATTCTTTATAAACTATGTTGAAAGTACAAAACCGTACGATGTAGTGATCGATGGCTTGAATGTAGCCTATGCTCAGGCGGGTCAGTCACCTAAATTGTTAGCTAAACAGGTAAAAGTTTCATAATAAATATTTAGATTAATTTTTACGATTTGTAGAAGTCTAATAAATTTGATTCCCAACAGCTTCGATTGGTTGTGCACTATCTAGTTTCTCAGAAGAAGAAACTATTAGTGATTGGTCGAAAGCACATGAATCTATGGCCAAAAGAGGATATAAACTATATAAAGCAAAATGCCTGTGTATTTTTCACAAAAGACCTGTACGTAAATTAGATTTTTATTTATTTAAATCATTTAAGTTACAATTATTTTTTATAGGTCACAAGACGACCCATATTTATTATATGCAACGTTAACTAGTGGAAGATCGACAGATTTTGTATCCCGTGATTTGATGCGTCCGCATAAACATCTACTACAAAATTTAAAAATCAAATTTCTGTTCAAACAATGGCAGGTTTCACATCAATATTTCGTGTTACGAGTGAATCACAATACTGGTCAAGTAGAACTACAAAAACCTCTCAAATACCATCCAATAGCACAAGAATGCCCAGATGGGTGGCATATCCCTTATAATACTTGTACTACTCTTAATCCACCTGATACTAACGAGCCACCGCGTAATTGGCTCTGCTTGAAATACAAATAGAAAGTAAAATCAAGTGTTTTTATAATAATATTAACAAATAAAAGTTTCATCAGAAAGCTGTACATGGAGACGCCTTTCCGTTTGTGGATCTTGTCCATGTGAAGAATATGTTGAGATGCAACATCACCTCATCTTTTTTCTTCTCCTTGATTTAATTTCATACAAAGCATGCATAAGAAAAAACGAGTTTGAACTTGCAAGTTTCTACATGACAAGTACTAGAATTGTCCGACGGATGTCGCCACTGTCGTCCGCAGGTCATAGTCACTCTTAAGCCGCAACACATTCCAGTCTCTTGGCTGAGCAACAGGTGACGATGTGTCGCGTCGCGTTTTTTCCGTGATTTTAGGTGCGTGAATAAAGTGAATCGAATAATTATGGTGCTGTGACGCGTTCTTACGTTATCCCAAGTTGTGAGAGAGAAAGTGTCTTCTTACGAAGTAACCAGAAAGGCATAAACACGCGGAGTGTCATCTGCCTGATTGGATTTTGGGAAGAGAGGCCCTGCGGCGCGCCTTGAGAAAAGAGAAAACACAACAAAGGTGAGTCCACTTTTCCCAATGTCAGTAACTTTAACTAATATACAATTTCATTATTTCCTCGGTCACTGCTCCAAAGCTGCTCGACCATGTGTCTCGATTGCCAACTCCCTCGCATCCAATTCGAATTTTCAAAGCACAGCGCATGTCTCTTCCCGATGACAGATTTAAATCTGCCAAATGATCTGCGTCGTTGACTGTTCTACTTAGTCAATGACGTTTCTGTTTTATCACCTGTAAAAAATATGACATACAACATTCAGCATGTACCATAGAAACAAGAAGATAGTTACTCAGAAACACATCATGCGCACCTTCACAGCTCTCCATGAGACCGGAGTACCTGGGAATCTATGCATCTTGCGTCCAGGTATCCTAAATTTATATTCCTCACTGGCAAAGTCCGAACCAGTATCACGAGCATTGTCCATCCGGATGACACGACGAAAACAGTCTAGTCATATCTCAGCAAGCATCTCTAAAGATACCTCGTGATCCCAGGAACTGATTCAGCGCCCCAAGATTTACTCTCTCTTCCCGGAACACACTTCAGTGAACGTATCAAGAGTGGCTTCAAGTCGCGGAAGAGCCTTGAAGTCGATCGACGATCATGCGATCATCATTCCCCACGCAGGACGTAACATTAACTAGAAAAACCTGAAATTCACATGTCTCCATCATTACTACGCTTGGCACATTGCACCGCAGCCGCAAGTGAGATTCCTACAGAAATACAACAAAATATTCAGAAACACTGTCTCGTTCATCCAGATATCGTTATCAATATGATATCAAGTGAAGTGATCATTGAAAGATCCGTCATTCGCAATGCAAGTGAATGTACTGAACGGTTTGCGAAACCCGTTCCTCCACGAAGCGCGAGTGGGTGCCAGGAAAAAAATTGGTGCCTACGCGCACCACGTATTTGGAGTGTCCCGGCTGAGCTTGTCAACGGGAAACGTACGTACGTAGGCACGCGTCTGCGCTCTGACTGCCATCGCGTACGTATACACGTTCCAACCCTAAGCCCGAGGTGAGTGAATCGGGTGAGAGAGAAAGGGAGAGCAAGAAGCTATACGTAGAATACAGCATGCACACGAGAGAGAAAGTAGAGTCAGAGGAAGAATAAGAGAATGGTACTGGAAGAGAGAACGTTATTTATGAATGAGCCAACCACCAGGAGTTCGGGTTCCTTTGTGTGTTAATGCACTCATTAGGATCCTCGGATTTGTCCTTTGTCACTGGGTATCCCGGCTAAGCTAGCAGAAACGTACCTAGTGCTCCTTGTTGAGAGAATAGCGGAGGTAAAGGAAAGAAAGAATTAAAAAAAATGGTGGTACACGTGGCCTTCAACCTCCAGTGTCGTCCCACCGCTTGCTCGTTAGGATAATTAAATCAGACAATAGGTAACTATACATTTACTAGCTCAGTAGGGATACATGAAGTAATGCACCCTTGTGGAACGTGCACGTGTATCCTTTGCTCTAGGAAGCCGTCAAGTGTCACAGGGTCAAGGTTCTGCATGATGAGCTTCCTCAGGACTGGTCTGGATAGGCACTCTCGTGTACCGACGCTCCGGTTACTTTAGGATATACGTCTGCACCCCCTCGCGAGTGCTTTACGATAAGTACTCCAGCTCCGAGGTGCCGTTTACCCTAGGGACTCTTAACTTACCTACCCATACCCGATGGTAAGGAACCAGGATGGCTTTATGGCCACGTGTAACTATACCTATCGGGCCACTATCGAAGGCCTGGAATATAGCTTCGTGGCGAAGGTGCACGACGTCGTGTCTCAACGCGTTCCTCTTACCCCAGTGCTGGATGGCTTTCTGCGCAAGGATTCAAATATTTACCTCCCACTGCTCACACAGGCCCAAGGGGACCGGTATCGGTATTCTCTCTCTCGCAATACTCGGTGCGTTTGTCCCCCGTGCACCCGTAAGCAGAAGGATGAAAAATTACGATAAAATCAGGTTCCACGCAACTTTCCAGGCACCTTCGATCACGCCTGGCACGTTCGAGCCGGTACTTCATGCTCTGTCGACAAGTCACTTTACACCGGAACACACGCCTATATGCCATCTATATCCTTCGTTAGAAAGTCAATGGGAGATAAACAGAATTTATTCTTATAGCTCTGTTTAACGGGGAATTCCTTAATTGTTCCTTTTTCAATGGAATTTTCAATCAGTACAAAGGTCCTGATCGCTACGTGTAAATAATGGCAGGTCGTCGATCGCCCCTCCTCTTCGCGCTATTCTTAAGCAAAGAAATACTCGGCAGAGTACACCTGGATAAGATAAATGTTATCCGGCATAACGCAGCCACCGTCTTGTCAAGCGCCAATGGCCTCCTTTATCGTTCGCCCGAGTTCTCCTGGTGATAAGGTACACACGCGGTACGCACGTACCCACATGCTGTATCTACGTACACGAGGAGAAGGAGGGAGAGAGAGAGACAAAGAAAGAGAACAACATGGAAGGCGTTCACTCGCCTCATAATGCTTCGACTGTTAACGAAATGCTCTGCAGTCTTGCCACTGGTATTTTCCAAGTGGGCCAGGGTGGGCTGATACGTCGGCCCCCGTTTTACCGCAGGGACTTTTCTACACGAATTCTCCGGGCGGGTACAAGGCATTCGTATTAATTCCCGAAGGGCGGGCTTTAACGAGCATCCGCGAGCTTGTATGCGTATTTATGTGGTATCCCCTATACTGCGTCTATTGCGCCACGTTGTTTTGCGGTCGCGTAGACCGTAAGGACGTTCCCAGTGGGTGGATGGGAGAGAGAGAGAGAGAGAGAGAGGGTGAAAAAAAATTCGTAGGAAAATAGCGTGGCATCATATAACGATAAACCGCAGTAATAAAAGTAAGTGGCCATCGGAGTCTATGGGGAGCTTTAAGCGCCATTTAGAAGGATTGGCACTCGGAGCTATAGTCGATTCCTGCTTCGTGATGCGTCAGGATCGGTCACGCGTCGCGAGGCTACGTGACGCGCTCACGGGGATATGTTTATCTATGTCCGTTGGTGTATACACAGTGTCCAGTAAAGTCGGCCTGGGATGCGTTCTTGGTCGTCGTTTCGGTTACGTACAGGAAACTTCACTCTTGACACATACGCGAGAAGTGAAGGTTTCACGTGAGGGAAATTGCAGCGACACCCGTGAATGAGAAGCGAGGGACTGATGGCGTTGGCGGTGACTATATGGTCCCCTATGGGGCGCCTATGGTGGTCCATGCGCTTAAAATCGATTCAGAGACACAGACAGGGCATGGACCTCCATCCGGGGTTATACCGGCTTCGTCGTAACTCTCCTTCTCTGCCGTCGGACGTGCATTGATTTCCCCTAGTTTTCTTTCTTTTTTTTTCTCCCTTTTTTCCAGTCTTCTTTACGTTCATACGATATTTACGATCCAGGCTACGAAGAGTTCGCAGGTACCCATATAGACCGTACGAAAAGGAACGTCACACGGGATTCAATGCGGACGAAGATTCCGTTACCACAATTGCTTTTACTTTTGACTTTCCCGTGGATTTTAAACTTTTTTAAAACGCTCCCACCGTAACTTCCTTTTAGCGCTCCTTCGCGATTTATTTATTAGCACGAGAAGCTCGCGGTGGCATCGAAATTTGAGAGGCGTCCCTGGGGTGTCGGGTAAACCGTCCCAGGGCCGTACCCTGAGTGTCCGGGTGCGCTTAATTTTACGGCTACCCATAATCGTTCCGCGGCGAAATTATTATTGCTGGGATGAAATTTGCTCGACGCGCGCTTTTACACGCTTTATCCCCCCCCCTCTCTCTCTCACTCTCTCTCTCTCTCTCTATTTCACTCTCTGTATCTCTCTTACTCTCTTACCGTCAGCCGACACAACCAGTAGAGAGAGGTACTTGCCGCACGGAAGTCATGCCTGGGTTGCGAGCTTTGGAGGAGTTTGAAAATGACCCTGGCCCTGGGTGTCTTTACGGCAGTTAGGTTTATTAGCTGTCGTTTCAACGGTGAACTATCGCCGCTCGTACCTCGTGTGGACTAGCCTTAAAACTATGCGCTCACTGGCCGTTATACCAAGTGGCGAGATCACCCTGCTACGCTATACGCGCGAGTCCGACCATAGTTCATCTAGCACCTCCCCCCAAGCACCCCCTTTAACATCCTCGCCCACTCGTCCCACGATGCACCGCGCGCGAGCTGCGTCCAGTTGCTGCTGGAATTTCCATTCGACGCTGCGCAGCCGTTTTTACTCGTTTTTTCTGACATGACTGAACTCGGCGCATCCATATCTAATATGGAACTTCTGGACGATCCTAACTTGGAAAGCGTCACGTTACGCTACGGAGGTATGACTATGTATCCGCTTGTGTACTTGGCATTAGGTTAGGTTAGGTTAAGTTAAGTCATGTTATACCTACCCCTTCGTATTGACTTCCTATATGTATGTATGCGACGGCGACAGTGCACTGTGAACCGACTGTGCACTCGGCCGAACGATCACGGCAAATGGCTTAACCCTTCGTGCACGACGATCCATACGCTTCGGATATGATCGTCCGGTCGTATAGTATTCGCCATTTTGTTGTATTCTTTTACAAGACGTTCCACTCGTTTCGGTGACGAAGTTAAAGGGTTTTCACTATTTTCCCGCCAATGGTTCACGCTCCGTACGGTCATTTATTTTGATATGGTATTTACGTGGAAGCCCTTGCGTCTGCACGAGCGTTGAGCATTGGCCTTTTCATTTGACGCTACTGGCATGATTTACGACGACCCTGCGGAATCCGAACAATGTTAATTTCACGTTGTATTACGGAATTCGACTAACGCACGAGTCTGCTGGGACCGATCCTCCGTTACATTAACCGCTGGCATGGGTCTTTGGCATGGGGCTGTGTATATGGGTTATTTTTTGATGTCCGATCTTTATCTAACCATCGCGTCCCGTCGTCACGCACCTCTTTGCGTCTCTCTCTCTCTCTCTCTCTCTCTCTCTAGCTCATTGGTAGATCCCTGCTCTCTCATGCATTATATATTTTTAAAGGTCGTCGCTGCTTGACGTGCACTGCGAACTGACTATGTTTATTATGAACCCGCTATAACGCTATTGTTTCTCGTTCTGGTAAGTACGTACTGCGCATGCGCGCTCGGGACGCTCTTACGGGGCTTGGATAATTTGATAAAATTATCGTAAACGAAATTAAGGGTCGTTTGAACGAGGAAGTGTTTTAGAGAGAGAGAGAGAGAGAGAGAGAGAGAGAGAGAGAGAGAGAGAGAGAGTGAGAGGAAGAGAGAAGCTGGGAGAAAGCATCTCCATGCCTGAGGTCCTTTTAGGCGCCTAAAGTAATTGATTAACCCAATTTTTTTTTTTTATTAATCATGATAATAATAGAGCGACGCTAATAACAGCGTCAGACATTATGTTCGTGGGCAGGGGGAGGAAGCGGGTGGGTAGACTGGATAATTTCATTGGTGCAATCCTTTAACCTTACTAATGGCGCTTGGATATTATTGCATGTATAATTTCTCGTTAATGCGCCCCTTTTAATAACGATGATAACCACGCGTCACGTTACAACTTTGCATTACGGTTTTTATCTTTTTTATTTTACCGCGATGTACAGTAGCTGTCAAAATGTACGTAGACGCCTGTACTTCTATAAGTCACGCGTACAGTCCCTTCCGGATGTATTACTTTGATTCACGTAGTCCCGATACCACGCGATACATTTCGCATGGGATTTGTATTTTCCTCGTCGTCATTCTACGTCACGTTCCCAGCTCCTCCCGTTTATTATTCTCATATATTACCGGCGCGCACTTTAAGACGTCATTCTCATGGACGCGAATCGAAGTGCCGCTTAATAATGCAGAGCGTGTTAAAATCGCTTGATTATTCATAAGCTCCCGAGGCTCAAAGCTCGAAAGCGGTCCCTCGTTGCTGCTCGCGTCTATGAGCTCTCGACTTCGGCCGGGCTCGGCCGTACTCGGGTTTGGCTTTTTCACCAGCCGAACCGCCTGGCTACGTTAAGCCCGGATTACGAGATGCAAATTGATGGATCGAGTCAGTCCGCGTTGTTGCGCGCATACTATTTACGTATTCGTAATAAGGTAATAACACACTCGACCACGCGTCAGCTCGTTGCTTTTTCTATGATTTTCTTTATTATTATTATTTATCAATCTACAGCCGGCCGATTCTTCGGTAATTCGGGTCTGGGGATTGCGGGCATGTTTTTCTTGTTGTTTCTCTATTCTTTCATTAGTCCTTGCATTTTCTTATGGAAACAGAACGAAAACGCACCTGCCGTTTCGCACTCGTCTTCGGATGTACCGGCTGTGAAGGTTAATGGGAATGACGGGTCTCAATGGTGTAATGTAGATTTTTAAAAACTCACCGTCGTCTACACAGGCGTTTGTGATTTTTAATAATTCCGTGCGTTTCTCCTCGTGCTCGTTCTCTATGGTTTCTTCAATCATCTTGACCATGACCTCCTTTGACAGCTTTCCGGATTCCATCTGGCAATGACAGTGTTATTTATCGAAATTTTCTCCCATGCTCAGATCAATCATATTTTTGGAAAAACTTACTACACCGAGCTCACGCAGTGCACAGGCATCTAAACAGTCGTGCTCCTTGTCGCGCTCTTGACTGAAACCGCGTGATTTCAATTTTTCTGAAAAAAAATCCTTTTACGTGGATACTCGTGAAAACTAAAATTGGCCGATTTTTTTCATTTACCCATATCCATCCCCAGCTCCTTCGCGCAATCCGCGTATGCTTCCTTTATCTTCACATCCGTTTTATCCTCCTTGGCTGCTGCGACGAGCTGGGTTGATGTTCAACGGGACAATTTTGGCTGATTACTTTTTTTTTGGGGATTTTTTAAATCAACGTCATGTCGCTAATTTAGTACTCACCGCCGTCAGCAGCAATCCAAGCAATCCGATCGACAGCCTCATTGCGAATTTTCGGTAAGGGTCGCCTGTAAGGGTTCGTAAAATCGAAACAGTAGGATGCACCGTAGTATGCACTGTACTGCACCGCTATGCACCGACTGCAGACACGTCGTTGCATTTATACCAAATACAGCCTGAATGCACACAATGGTTAACACCAGTTACCGGAAGTCGATCTGCGAGATGATCTCTCGAGATATCAGGACCATTCACGTAACACGAGAATGACATTGTACCTACACGTAATAGCTCATCTTATTTCGTCATCGTGCGAGATTTACCGATGGATAACGTCGTCTAACGATTCGCGACTTGGCGGCAGTCACTGTTATTGCCTCGTGACGTAAAATCGAGAATTACGTTGATTTTGAAAATTTTCTTTATCAATCTTTTTTTTTTTCCAGCGAAATAATGGTTAATTGCATCCGACGTCTTTCTGGAAATTCCTTGGTGCACCTACCGTGCTAAAAAAATGTATCTTAACGGCCTCTTACGTAATTTTCGATTCGCTTCTTTGAACTCATTGTGCAACGATTTAACGACGTGGATGCTGTACGTCGTGATCTCCTTCGTCGTTCGGCACAGCGACGATTCGTTGATTCGTCTTGATTGGTTCAATGAAAACGACGCTCTCACAAGGCGTCGCACCCAAATAGGCTAGCGTCCTATTTATTACATGACTTTAGGATGCTGGATGCACGAGGTCTCGCGTGAGTCTGTGACAATTTTTTTTTTTTTTATAAATATTTTATTCCCATTTTCACTACACTCGTTGCGTCATTTCGTTTGTTCTCCAATAATTGAAAAACGATCGTCGATCAGATAAGGGACGGCTGGCATCGCGTGCGCGTTAGAAGAGAAAAAACGGAAAAATAAAAAAAAATGTATGACAGATTGCGCGACGCTATCGAACGATCTTTGCTGTTACAATTAACGCATACTTTTTCGAATAATCATCGTGTTTACGCGGTACGACTAAAATTACATCAGATTGCTAGTAACTGCTCGTTCTCTTTTCTCGGCTGCAGTTCGATTACTCGTTGACGGTCGTCGCGCTTACGATTCCGCGTAGTCCACTTGCAATTAGTCAGGGGAAAAAGACGACCTGCAAAATTATTAATTGCTTTTCTTTTGTCACGTTTCAATTGCATCGAGCGCAAGTGGGGTTTCGCGAATGACATTCCTTTTTTTTTCCGAAACTTTTTGCACTTACCGAACGGTCCGTTTCGTAGAAGCACTTGGTGAATTGCCAGGACAGCACGCACGGATCTTCACTGTCGACTGCGTGCACGAGATAATAAATGATTAATTTATGCTTTATTCGAAAGTAATAATTTTTTTATTTTTTTATTTTTTTTAACTTAAACTTATCGTTTCGCGTACTTGCTTCGACGCACTTTAGCGTAGCCGCCTTCATTCTATCAAGTACGTCCAGAGCCACAATCTTATCTAATTGCGTTATCATTACGTCAATGAGGAGCTTTTCGTTTTTCATCTGAAAGGAAGGAATTTTTGAATTTCAAAAATTTTTCTCTTTTTTTTTTTTAACAGTCCACAGAGACCTGTGTATGCATACTTACCAGCTTCATCATCTCGAAGAGGCATTTGTAGTAACATTGCAATGCCGGATCGGGTGGGAAGATGCCGTTAGAAGCACCGTCCAGTACCTCTGGGATATGTAAAAGATAAATATGTTCAGGGCAAGCTAATTTTTCATGGAACACCTTGACTCATACGGTCGTTCTTATGGATTGACCGTTGAAAAAGAAAAATATTAATTCCCGGACTTGAAACTTTTAAACCGAAGGTACTTGATATTTGCGAACGTTACTGTTCCGTTTATATGCTCGTGACTTTTCCTTTAAATTTCGAGCTCAATTTTCCCTGGACACTCTAATCTCGATAGTTTCGATACAAGAATTCGGATTGTCACGTATGCGAAGTTTGGAAACCGGAAGTCCCGGACATCTGAAAATGCTACCATATCACGTCGAAATCTGAAATGCTTATTTCTAACGTAAATTTTAAGTCCGTCGGTTCCAGTGGTCCGTTTGAAATTTTTTATACATACACTTTCACTCCTACATGCATTCACGCTCGTATATGATTTTCCATTAATGACGTATGGCACAGGCATTCGCGCATGTTTCTTGTGATTGTGTCTCGAGAATAAGGGTTGACTCGATGTATTATTTTGTTGGTGTGCATAAAAAAGTGAAATTACCTGCCGAAACACTGATTTTCGATGTGCAGGCTTTCTTCATACCCTTTAGCGTATTTCTCAATTGCGCCAATGTCATTCTCTTTGAAAATGATTAGACCATTTTTCGTATATACTTAAAAATGCAATTCTTTCTTTTTTACTTAATCTTACGAAAAATTCACTCACGCTCTCGATCGATCCAAACGCCAGGAAGAGCGTCGCTACCAGCAGGACAGCTCTCATGCTGCCGCCCAAGCAATTGACTTTTCTGTATTCAGGACTCGGTGAACAATCTTGAGCACGGCGAACTGCAGTCTCAGCAATGCATATGGGAGTTTTCAGACAACACATTTGTGACATGGAAACAAGGGCCTTTATATGGAGAGAAGATGACGGGAAATTGCTCGGGGCAACTACTTATCAGTCGCTACGCTGATTATGGTTTATTAATCGCGTAATTAAGGCACACAAGGCATTAATCCACGAATCCTATAATCTGTTTCTGGCTCGAATAAAGTCCACCGAAAGTAGGTACATTTAATGAACGACATTTACGACACTGCCGGTCCCTCCTACTGCCGGGAGAAAAGCTACAAAAAAAAAATGTTATCGTACACCAGGATTAAAAGAAATATGAAGATAAATTTTTTTCTTTCATTTTCATATTTATTTTTCAAATTTTACAACGACACGGGAAATTCATTTTTATACTATTTCTTTTACTTTCGAATAATTGCATCAGGGAAAGAAGAAAACTTCGGCATCCGTATCCCAGTTGCATTTGACAAACTGATACGCGATCTCGCACATGTCGTTGCTGGTGGCTGTAAAAATTTTTTTTAATTTAAAAAAAATGTAAGAAAATTTTTTTTTTCTAATATTTTTAACATCTTTTTCACTTGCATATATATCCTGTACACTTACCCACGGTGGAGCAATGTCTGGCAACGTGTCTCGTGCGCTCTTGTAAGTTCTCGGGCACCATGGTGTCCACTTGTTTCAGGAGCATATCGAGGTCGACTTTGCCATTTCGCAGCTGAAGAATGAAGATAGTAAATCCAGACGATAAAACACTAGTTTATTAGCCTTTCAGGTATCACACGAGACGTAGCTCGTGGTTTCGTACACCTGGCTGCACTTACCGTTCGCAACATACCCATAACGCACTTGAGGTAGCACTGAAATTTCCTATCCTCCGGGAATTCCCCTTTCTGCATCCCCTCGAGAATGGCTGTCAAATGAAACGTATTATTTCGATCAATCACATCGACGTAATTGACATTTAATTGAAACAAAGTATACTCGACTCCATTGGGTTCTGAAGTAATAAAATTCCTTTTCTTTTCTTTCTTACCCATGTCAACACCGGTTTTTGGCTGACAGACATTCCTGAAGCCCGAAGCTATTTTCGTCATTTGCTCCATCGTCATAGCCTGCGAAGGCGTAATACGTAATTTTGAATTATTCCCCAGAACCAGCAAGAGTTCCGCTTCCTTTTATATTTTCATCTTCATTACGGTCCGCCGTGTGCAATTTTCTTGTTTTCGTTCGTTATAATTGCGCAACTTACCGATTCCACGCGATGAAGAGACGCGAGGAGGAGCGCGATGCCCGTCACGAGTGTCTTAAACATCTTCACGAAATTTTTAACGATTAGGTAATTTACGAAAATTAATTTTTCACACGACAAAAAACAATTGAGGATAACTGCCGCTCAAGAGACAAGATCGGACTATCTTGTCTCCTACGTTTTTCTAGGGCTTTTAAATCGCTGCTGGTACCTCGTTAACCCTGTCGAACACCCGACATTAGACGAGCTCGTTTTCCCAGTAATGATATCCCATCTCAATGCCAATTCCTATTGTTACCGTATCAATTTTTCGAAGTGCGCATTAGCCTATTGCGCAATTACGTAAATTCTAACGTACGAGAGCTTCCGTACAAAGATACCTAAAATCAGTGATCCATATACTTACGTGGATCGTCTCACCCAAGATCCCACCCTATTGACTCCCGTAGTCTTACAGGCTGTTTGAATATCATTGAGGCATCTAATGGAAGGTAAGAAATTTCAAAGATTATTTTATTGTCTCCCACAATTTTACGTACCGTTCGTTTCAATACTGACCGGGTCAATCCACTCTGCTTCCTATTTGTACGCATTAACCTTCGTTTACGGGAGCTTCTCTCCTACCTCGCATAGCTCACAATACGTATCCGAGCGTATAACGTATAGCTCATAGTTCGAAGCTAGCAGCGCCCTCGGGCAATAGAATTCAATCGCGCTCAAACCGACTACAGTCGATCGTCGTTCAGTTCGCTGGACTCCTGTATCACTCTACCAATTTATTGATCGGAGAACTTTTGGCTCACCGTAATGGCTCCGTTGTTACTACTGCTCTCCTTTTTTCTTTTCGCCGTTCTAATCCTCCGACAGCTCACTTACCCTTGTCCCTATAAATATGATTGTCTGCTGTATACGCTTGGGTGTGTATATATATATATATATATATATATATATATATATATATATATATATAGAAACGTCAGCCCTTTTTCGCACAGTCGGAACTTCCTTTCTCCTACTATATTCATTCCCTTGCCACAGTCCCTTACGGTCGGCAGTTGGCACTTCCTTGCAGTTTCCCTGATTCGTTCTCACTAGGCGCGCTAATGTCAAACCCTTGTATCTCGAGAGACGGCCCTTAGGAGCATCTGGCCAGGAATCCACCAGCTCGAGGAGGAGCCCTTTACCAACCTACTACCCCTCCATGCCCTTCGCACCCGGGGCTCCCATTAGTTCAAGGAGCACTCCTGGAAAGGTCGATAATTACATTTTTTTTTACCTCGTGATTAATCTCACCTTTTACCACCCTCGTACCTACCCCTCGCCCTGGCTGCCCTTTAACTCGCGTTCTTTATCGCGACTCGCGTCCCTTATTGGCCGCATTTGACTTGGCGCCCACTATCCCTCTGATGAACGATTTTTTTTACTCGTCTCCTTACCCGACGGCCTAACGAGCTCTTAGGTGGTACAGCGGATGCTGCGACTGAGAGTGCTCGCTGGGTAAACTGTATTTAGGGAGCTTGGTAACGAAGTCGGGAAAAGTTTCGCGCAGCATCCTGGGGAGGTTCTTGTGCCGTGGAACACGCAGGGTTTAATTTCCGGATAATTGAGATAGAGATTATTTTCTTTTGTTGTCGATTTTTTTTTTTCCTTGATTTTTCAACATTTTGATCTACGAGCTTGGGTTGATTTATCGGATGAGGTTAGGCATTGCGTAGATCGGGTTGCTGAGAATATCGTGACCTCGCCTCTCGAGGATTCTTAATTAATCGCTTTTAATTAGTGGCAATAACCGTGTCGTATATACAAATTCATTATTATCATCTTGTTAGGCGCTCAAGTCAGATCGACTTTGATAAGCACACGCCCGTGTTTTTTATGTGGCCATGTACGAGATAGGCTACGAGATCTATATGGGTTCTTGTCTGTACTGTCAGACGCGAGAGTAAGTTAGAGAATGAGAATGCACGAGAGACAATGTGAGAGAGAGAGAGAGAGAGAGAGGGGGGGGGGATAGAATGAAATGGTCCAAAGTGCTCCTCGAAATCATAAATTCATGGCGGCCATTGACGCCCAGCAAATATCCGATTATGACTGAGTGATTCGCTGCATTGAATCGTCGAGGACCCTCGCAGACTCCCTCTTTGTCATGTTAATTAGCTTTTAATTAAAGTCGGAACCCGTTGGGCATCTGAGCATTAGCTTCCGGCAATTCATTGAGACAGTGCTAGCGACTGTATAGTGGCGTTGAGACTTTATTTTCCCTCGGTCGGTAAAGAAGTTCGTAATTTCCCTCTTAAGCGAGTTAAACCGCTACGTGTAATGTATATATGACGATAAATTAATAAAGGGACACGACGGGATACCGGGAATAGGATTATGCAACGGTAATTTGTATTTTCACTCGATTCTCGGAAAATCCTCTGCTTCGTTTTCTTCCTTTGATTGAAAAAATTTCAAAGTGGCTGCCTATAGCTACTACCATACGTTAATATATTGTAGTATACCGTACACGTTAATGCACTATACGTTTATACGTCTCGTGGGATCAGCGCGACCTTCTAATTGGCAAGAATTAATCACAGGCGATTAACGCTTCGGTATAATCGACCTGTTGTATTTATATCCGTATTTTACTCGAATGATGTAATTTTCTTCATTCTGTTTTTTAATTTGTGTATATATTCACATATACATATGTAGTAAATATATGTAGACATGCGTAAATTTCGGTTTCGTGGAAGGGTTCATATTTGTAGGTTATGTTATGTAGAGTCGGTGGGTGGACTGTATGATTTCGCCGTGGAAATTGGCTTCCCCGCGGTGAGTTTCCTCCAGTGAAAATAAATCCGGGAGACGCCACGCACATGCACGGACACACGAGTAAGCCCCTTGGAAAAACACGTCATAGTTGTAAATTTCGATTATTTTTAGGACGACTGTTTAGGTAAAGTCATCGGCTCCTGCTTTCCGTCCGTGGGACGTCTTTTCTTAATTTTTTTTTTTCCTACCACAGATCAAGTGGTCCATTTCACGTTTCACCAATCGCCGCGAATCACGTTGCCATGCCTTCGTCTCTCTCTGGTCTCTGACTGCACTCGGTGATGCTGCGAGATGCAGTGACGCAATCGTAGCCAAGTGCAATCTCTGACTCAGGAATCGTCTCTCCTTCTTTTTCTATATATCGGGACTAAGGCATTTCCGCTTTATACCGGAAGCTGTACATCGATTTCAGTTGTTGAGATACTTCTCCGGAAGTGCATCGTTAAGTTAACATTCGTGCACACGCGTCGCCTCAAATGTTGCATGGATTCATGTGACGGATCGACGTAAACGACTGTTTATCAAATAAAATATAGATCTGCGGAGAAAGTGATGAAAAAAAAAAGGATAATTACTCAAATCCAATTAGGGTCCTTTGATTGTTTAGATATTCGTCACGGATGCTTTTTTGACTTATGTCTACCCCGTTAAAAGACGCGTAACTGTAATGGCGTCTTTACGGCTGACGTGGTCGCCCTTTATTAATAAACAGCCTTAACGAAACGACTTTTTCTTGTCGTGGACCGCATGTGCATGCATCTTTAGGCATCAGCCGCAAGCATATCCTGGCGCTTTTTTTTTTCTTTTTTTCTTTTCCCTTTATCTTTCTCTCTCTCTCTCTCTCTCTCTCTAACGACCTGTATATTTTACCAGGGTGATTCACTATCGGCACCCAGGCGCCGCCTCCGAACTTTCCAAAGACGATAGTCGCTGGAACGTTATAGCCTTCACCAATTATGTGCACGCGTACTCTGCTTGTGTGTGCACGCCTTTAGCCTCACTCGACCCACGAGGGACGATCATGTGGACGGACGTTAACGCGCTTCGTTAACGTACATATGTACCAGAAGCGACTGGGAGAGCGAGTTAGTCAAGTGTCGGGGCCCTGCCAGTAACTACGCTCCTGCACTGTCAGATTTAGTCTATCTCTCTTTCTCTCTCCCTCTCTCTCTTTCTCCTCTATGCGCTTTCTCATTCCTTGCGGATTCTCTCTCTCTCTCTCTCTCTCTCTCTCTCTCTCTCTCTCTCTCTCTCTCTGTTTCTTCGACTTCTTTATTTATTTCGTTCCAATGCTATTCCTACCTGATTTCTTTAGTACCCATCTATCCTCTCGTAAAACTCTATTGAAACTTCAGTAACTCTGGGATTTCTGTGCCGTTAGACGTCCCAGTCTAGCGGATACCTCAGGATCACGACAATCGATTCCGTGCCAAGTGAACTGATCTTTATTTCTGAAAAATTCACTTGGATTTCTTGTTTTTAATTTATTACTGTGACATCGTGCGAATATAGTTCCCTTCAAGATCCACGAACTTTGGTTTATACAGGAGATAGATTGTATTCGCGAGGATGCTGGAAATTGTCGTCTGAGGTCACTGCGTTACGATGGAGTACAGTGCGGGATATTACTCAGCCAAGTCACTTCAGGTACGTTTATTCATAGTGTCCATGGTGCATCGAGGGACTTTTTTGTAAAATTTATTTAACAAGATTTTCGATAATTAATTTTATTCGGATAATTTTCTCTTATTACTGTCAAGCGAAATCAATCCTGGGTTAAGGATGCTCCGGCGACTGTCAAGGGTTCTGGCAATCGGCCACCCGACCCCAAGGAGTCCTTCTTAACGTGTCTCGCCTCGGACTCCAAAGTTGGGGAGCAAACGATCATCCAACAAGGAGGATTCACGCTTTGGTGATTTCGCGGAATGCCCGAGAGACTCGACAATGGAATACGTTGCTTCACGCAAAGCATTTCTTCTCGGTGACTGACAATAAGAAACGTGGATTATCGTAAGAGAGAATGTACGAACGGGAATCGAACGTTACCAGACTAACAGGGTATAATATACGGGTATGCGGGGCCAACAGGGTTTGGGCAATTGATATTAATTTCACGGCCCATTGTTATTAAGTGATATCAAACAGCACGTTTCCATTGGCAATTATTAACCGAAACCATAGCATTTACAAGGGATGCGATTTAGCCTTTGATAAGCAACGCATGACGGTTATGTAATCAAAGCAAAGTTACATGACCTTTGATACGTAACCGGTGCTTTTGAATTGGATAACTTCGTATTTGTATGACAGGATCCAGACGATATATATATATATACATACACACATATATATATAAAAGTAAAAATGTCCACGTGCGATCTAGCCTGGCAATTTTCTTGTCAGTCGGTGAAATTGCGTGGGTCCCTTTTTCGCGCGGTTCGCAAAAGTTATGACGCCTATTTACTACTCGTTCCATGTTATACCTCTCCACTTTTCTCAGGAACCCTTAACCTCTGTAGTTCCTACGTGAGATCCTCGCGGCAGAATTTTCACGCTCCCAGTGGCAAACAAGCCGCCAACCACTGGGACAGCAATGGATGTAAACCCTTCGCGGCCGCGGAGTGTCGCTTCATTTATTTTACGTTGGTTTCGCTAGACGCAGAAAAAAGAGGTACTCTCTCAGCGCCTCCAGAGCGCGCCCCTGTCGTTTTCACTAGGGACAAACACGACACAGGCTCACCGGCATGCTCGGCGATAGTGACGCGTGCCTGGGTACGAATTCCGTTCTATACCGTGTAGCGGAATGTTATACCAATTGCGTTATACGCAGGGAAGAATCGTAGGTGCTTGTACGTATTACGTGCCGGTGCCGGGACTTTTGGTAAAACGGAAGAGTCATAATAAAGGCCGTCACTTGGGAAAAGGTAAAGTCCATAGCATTACCGAAAAACATGCTTGGCCATTTTCGTTGATTCGCTCGCGGTCCCTTCGGTCTCGAGTCGGCAGTAAAACCGGGGAGGCGAAGGGCAACGAGTAATTTCATATTTCGAGCGTTTTGCATTCTCTATTAGGAGAGAGTGAAAGGGACGTCAAATGTTTCCACCCTTAACGGTGCTCATAGCACGTGACTCGTGACATTTATTTCTCACGTGCAATTTCACGTCGACGCTCTGCTCTCTGTGAATGCTCTGTCTCTCTCTCTCTCTCTCTCTCTCTCTCTCTCTCTCTCTCTCTTTCTCTTACAGTTTCCAACGACTATTTCGATTTTCTCATTGCACGGAGTATGTCAGAATTTCATTGACAGGATCCCGAGAAGATGCTGCTGCAACCGCACGGGATAAATCCCTAAAACTGTAGAACGCGACGAAAAGGTCAACTATATTGTTTCGACTTTTTCGAAAAAAAAAATTTTTTTTATACGTATGAGTTTTCTCGAGACTGTTCTATTTACTCCTCTTGTTGCGACGGCCCTTCGCGACCTTTTCGGCCCTTCCTCCCACGGCCCCTCGACCATAACGTTACACCCTGTTTCCTCGCGGCACACAGCCCACATAAATTTACATACGAATTTCACGTTCGCCAGAGCAAGTTTACACGATGATACCGACGCCTCTTTCACTCAAGGGGTTTCCTAAGAATTAACGTCATTTATATTTCTTCGTTTGGTCGAGGCCCTTAATTCACTCCCTTACGCGAGAATACAATTCGACTGGATTGTTCGACTCTCTATATCCAGTGGCTATACCGAGAGAATAGCCACTTTACTCGATTACCAGATACAGATATTGGAATCGTGCCTTGACCCTTCGAGGGCTCACCGCTACCAAAGGGGCTGTCCCTTAATGACATTTCGAAAGGGTCTACCTATATAGGACTTAGTGGGCAGCCAGGAGCGAGAAAGAAGCTTCGAGACGTAGGTCGGACGTATAGTTGTAGCTACTGTACAGTCACTTTTAAATATCCAAACGTAACAGCATTGAAGAGCAGCCCGCAGCTTTCAGGATGGACCGCAAATTCAATAGACTGTACATACAGGTATTACGAGTACGTGTACGTACTTGGATAACGTGTGTACATACACTGTATATAGCTATATAGGTATGGATATGCATGGACTGGCAAGCGGATGGTGTGTATACAGATTCACCCTGGGACGATGTTCACTCCGATGACGCGAAATTTACAACAGGCGTCGTCGTTCCTATCGGAAATTTCATAATACGAGGATCGCCTAAATTTTCGGATATTCGATAAACCCAACTTTTAATCGGCCATTACCATTCATAGTGTGACACGCCACTTAATTTATGCGCTGCCTGTTCCGCTTCTTCTAGCTTACACGTGCGTACGAGTACATGCGCTCGTATACTGTCTACGGGCGTTAGGTGCATTACGCACGTTACGCATGTTGCGACACGGACCAGCTATGCGCTTATTAAGCCCGATTAGCGTTCATTTGCGAAATCGCAACTGTGACATCCGCAACTCTGCATTACGCGTATCTGCATTTACATTTATCTTTTGTCTTTTTGGAGAGTTCTATTATTTTCATCCCCCATTGCATCGTGCGCTTCGTACAGAAAACGGGGTGGTCGGTTGCGAGAAGGGGCAATGAAATTTTTGAAAAAAATTTTCATTTTTTCATTTTTTTCGTTTCTTCACTTTCACTGCCCTTAAAGTCGTAGCTGTTAAGGGTGTCTGTGGTTCTTGGAGAATTCTGGCAACTCGCATTTTTCTCCCTTGAAAGGGTTAAGGAGTCATTCGTCTGTCCTGTCCGGATCGTTTAATCTTGTCGAAGGGATGCTTTATGCACTCCTGGGAAGACCGGAAGTGAACGGGAGGGGGGAGAGAAAAGAGATAAAAGTTATCAAGCTTTTTTTTTTCCAAAACTGCGTTAATGGCGGGACGTTTCGATAAGAATAGTTTGTCCGGTCATCGTGACACTTTCACCCTTAACTGCACGAAATAAACTTCCCTCTAGATAACGAACAACTTTCTTCCGTATATGGACCTTCTCCCGATTACGATACACGTATACACATACGGCCTGCGTGACGACGTTGTGTCTTTTCCTTAACTTTCTTCGCCTCACCTATTATTATGCAGCAATAGAAATATAGGATGTTACGTCGAACGCATTTTTTACTTTTTATTTTTTCACAAAAAAAATTACTATCACGATCTACTCGCGTTTCATGTCACTCGTCAAATTATTCACGAAGAAAAGTTGCACGCACATCACGAGCAACTTTTCCTAGTAACCTAAGCCACCTGGCCACGGAGCTTCGTTCGAAAGTTTCGAGCGTCTCAAATTTTACCCCGGGTAACATAACCTAACTTATTCACTCGCGGTAGCTAACAGATTGCTCCGAGTCTCGAGGAGCTTCTCGAATTTCGTTTTACGTAATTTATGAATGCGACTTATAAACGGTACGTTGGATTTCCTGTTTCTACGTACCTTTTCTATTCCTTTAATATTTGCTTGCAATTAACGTCTGCCCTCGACAGTTTCACCCGGCGTAATTAATCAGTGATAATCTCTTGGTTAAACTACGCGCACGGTATCTTTGCTTGGGTGAATTTAATAAAATGAATAAAATAACACGTAGCTACCGTACTTCCTATAGCATGTGGAACTTCGGTTAGTAACTTCCCCGTGAGACTCTCATGAAATTTTTCTTAGTCATCTGTGTCCGTAAGGTCACGACCTTCGAGAACTCCCACTAGCGTTATACCTGGCGTTGAAAATAGTTTCTTGGTCAAACGGTTAGAAGACCGCAAGGTATCCTTGGATTCCCACGCAATAATTTCCCCTGGCTACACGGACGCAGAGATAGGTGTTAATGATACACACACACATATATATATATATATATATATATATATATATATATATATATAACAGTGTAGTATCATGCGATTAAACGTACAATAATAATAATATTTTTGTTTACTTTCAGAATCAGCAATGGCGAGTGACGTATGTTGAAATTGCTGTCGCCGACGATTAATACAAGGCTGATCGATGAATTGTTTAAGAATAAGAACGGGAGTAAATTAACATGATATAATGACGTCACTGGTACAGCGAGACTTTGTTGGCTCTCAGAGGAAGAGAGAATCAACCGGAAGTAACGCCTCGAGCTATTTACTGGTGAGTCATTAATGTTTAAAGACCTAAAATTATTCGCAACAATCCCACGTGAATTGAGATTGGCACGTTAATGGGGGAGGGTAGCGGACGAGTATGGGTAGTTAACGTTACACCCGAGGTAATGTCTTTATTGGAGCGAGGGGTACGCGGGAGTTTACTGGAAGGTTAAGGGAAATTCTGATTATGGTTTTGGGGTGACGTAACGGGCGTCGTCACTGTCGGCCAATCGAGTGCTGGCTAATAACTTAGTCGCCTGGACTAAGCGGACTCTTAGCTGGGAGCTATGGCACGCACGGGTACGCGGCTATGAAATAAGTTAATTTGCATAAACAAGTGGCGAATCGGGGGATCAGGGAGAGAAAATGGCCGAAGGGTATATGCCGACCATTCTCATTCGTTCGCGCATTGGCCACAGCGGGGGGG